CTTTTAGTTACGCAAATCCACTATTATTTTGAAATTCATTCCAAAGGCAAAAAAAAAATAATGGATAAACTAAGCAAGAGCAGGGTATACAGTGTATGTCTGCGATTTTTATCGCTAAGTAATCTGATATGTGAAGTATCTGATGCTTAACATCACCAAGTGAGCGCTATGTGCTTTAAGAACATATTTTGCTTTTTGCATCCAACGCCACTGGTGAAAAATTATTGTAATCGTGAAAAATTTCGAAAATGAGCCTTCTACATCATGAAAAACCATGTCACTCACTTTCGTCCGCCTGTCTCTAACATACTCCTTAGCCCATCTATAACCTGGGAAGTACCATCGATTTTAATGAGTTTTTCACAATGTTACTATTATGACAACGACGAAAAAGATCTGTAGTTTTTGAAAAAAAAATAAAAATCGCTTCAATCGTTTTTTGACGTTTCAGGGGGTTCTGATCATTTTCAGAAACATCTTTGCATGCGAAAATGCGGCGGACAGCAGAGCAATCGCCTCGCAAAACCTAGCAACATGGATTTATGAATAAAGTTAACCATAAAGAATGAAGGTGTTTTTCTATGAGAGTAAAATACCTCAAGAATTATAAATCTATCACATGGCGATCCTGCCAGGATGGTATAGTGCTTGTATGGAGATACAGATTTAATATGAATAATCTCAACATCTCAAAATATGCCCTTGAAGATCCGCCTCATTATCTGAAGATATCCCAGGTAGAGGTGACAGGAGTACTCGTCGTGATTGAGATAGTTATTCCTAATTTAAAACCATAATACAAGCTCGAAAGACGCTGTTGAACATACATCTCAAGAGGGTGACGTAGATGTGTAAGAAGAGATCAGTATATCAGATAATGGAGCCGACATCAAACCTGCTATCTATGAGGAGATCGAGATCAAAGGTGAAGCACAGATAATCATGAATTCCGTTGTCCTGTGGACCCCAGCTGACTGTGCGCTTGGTGATTGCAGACCTCAATGAATCTGTTCCAGACAATCTGGATGGTGACTGGAAAGAGAGGACCAGCGAGCCGTGAGTCTATTTGAACAACAGTGATTTTTGGGTTATATCAGAGGAATCACTTTGCTCATCCCAAAATAGTGGAAGTTATTTATCAAAGGTTCAAAATTTCTACATATACAGGATCCGTCAGAAAGAACGCATGTTTTTCCAATGGGTACTACATCGAATGGGCTGGTCCCGTGTCGGTGGGGAAGGGCGTGTTGGATAGTGGGAGAAGTGCCGTTTCAGTTGGCAAGTTGGTTTGGAACATTGAGCATCGTGTGTTCACTGTACGTCGATACATTTTCGTGTTCTACATCGTGGGACAGTACCAGACCGTAACACCATTTTGAGATGGGTGGAAGAATTCAACACAACAGGTAATATGATGAAAAAAAACCGCCAGGGCGACACCGTACTGTTAGAACCCCCGAAAACGAAGACAGAGTGAGAGTTGACATGCTGCAAAGCCCGAATCGTTCCGTCCGTTTGCGTGCCAGTTCCCTAGGAATCTACGCGTAGTCTGTACGTCGCATCTTGAAGACGGATTTAGTGTTCCATCCTTACAAAATCCAAGTTTGTCAACAACCGTTTCCAGGGGATTATGCACAACGTGTTAATTTTGCACAGCTCATGATTGAACAGTTGGATAACAATGACATGACGTTGTTTATGGGTGATGAAGCACATTTTCATTTACAAATTTTGTTTTACTCAAAAAAACTGGCATTGGAGTATTTTGATATAATAAAATATTTTCCCATACTTATTTTGACTGTACTGCTCATTTAAAAAACATGCGTTTCTTCTGCCTCTTTCTACATTAAATAGCAGTTAATATTCTCTTAAATTGCAATTTAATTTGCTCGGTTATTCATGACATACTGGCTAAGTATATGTCATGAATAGTGAATAAGATTTATGGCACAAAAATAATGTACAATTTGCAAACAAATTTATAATCACAACATTACTGTAAATACCAATATGTTCAGTATTTGTAAGTTTATCATTTCCGTGTAGTACAGCCCAACCCGAGAAACAGGTACAACTTTTTGTTTGAAGGTAAGAGACAACGTAAAGGTAAACTAATTTTTTCGGACTTCCATTGTCTGTATTTTTAACTAAGTACACAACGTTTCGATTAGTAAGTATCTCTAATCGTTATCAAGTGTAAACTAATACAACTTAGTGCGTGATGAGTGTATCAGTGTGTGCAACGCTACCATGCTGAATTTGTCGCAAGCTTTGTTGCCACATTGCTCGATGGTCGGTACTGTCGATAGGACGGAGCCTATATCGCAATGTAGTCAAATCTATGGGAACTATGGACTAATATAGGTCCAGTTTTGGTCATTTTCTGCTACCAAAATACTCACTCTGTAAACCGCTATAATTTGAAATAAGCGTTTTGTTGAACAGAGGTATCTCCTTCACCTGAATACAGCTCTGACAGAAGGAGATTCCAGTGGCCTCTATCGATCCTCTTATAAATCACATTCCCACAGATAAAATGCAAGGGCAACTCCTTCATCTGGGAATATTCCCGATTCTTTGGATTCCCAAAAGACGCTGTGTTGTTACGTGCATGTGGTGTTTAAGTGATAGGTGAGTAGCGTGAGGCGATAATGTAATTATTGTGAAACACTTCGAATCTGAAATGAGAAATATGTATGTTATTACACATTTTTATACTATGAATATTGCATGAAGAGCCAGCCAGCTTCTACGTAACTTGACCTGTTAGCATGTTAGTGTGGGACAAATCTTGAAACTGAATTTTGAAACAATTAATCCTAACTGAATGAGCTGACAGGACAATGCCCCATTTTGGGCCATATGGCGAACAGTAATAATAATATATATGAAAAATTAAAGCTTCCGCCTTTTGTTGGGTACTTCGACAAAATTTAAGCAAAGAGGACTCTTTATACTTTTTTTAATTCTCTCTAGCTTTCAATGGACTTTGCCATCATCATCAGGAGCTGCAATTACAATGATAACAGTAGCAACAAAAGTGTAAAATGAATTTAAATTGAATCAACTTACAGTAGTATGTGAGGATGTTGCTAATTGTTGTTTTCGTATAGGATGAGGGAAACGTCCAGTAACATGGTGAGAGCTGGATACATGGTACAATGGTTAAAATTATATAAAATATGACAAGACAAGTTAAAGACGGATTAAAAATTATTTAGAAAACATTAAAGCATTACGTCGTGAAGCCACTTGATGATTGCACAAAATGGTGGTCATGGAATAATGAGTGAGATGAACCTTTGACAGAAGGCCGAAGGTTGTCAATGTCTGTGTTGAAAGATGGAACGAATTGTGGGCGTGTGCCAAAACGTTGCCAAATCACTTCAGATGATGTGATTTTCAGAATGTTATATTAGAAATTGTTAAACCGACCAGAGCCAGTTGAATAAACTATATTTTAATTAATGGGGATTTTAAATTAACAATTATTAATGAATCGTGAGAAGAGAATTATTAGATTTTGAGTGGAATGAAATTTGTTGGTGGAATCGGCCAAAACACAGATTATATTTATGGTTGTGAAAAGTCGAAATTTGGGGAGATATGTAAGTTCTCCAATTTTTCGCAGTTTAGCAAATATGAGTAAATGACACTCAGTTGTTTAATATCTGTATTTTTGTTGATACAGTTGTTATTCATGAAAATGTGGGACATTTCCAGGAATAAACGTTTGGAAAGGTGTTTTTCTTTATCAAGAACTTTGATACTGGTGCGACCGAGAAGAAAGCTTCTCCAGCTAAGACAAAGAAAAGTGGGAAATCGGCGACGTCGGCTAAAGCTTCTTCTGCTGCACCTTCTGCAGCGCCTGCAAAAAAATCTCCTTCGAAGGCGAAGAAATCCAGCAAGGGAGCTCCGACCAAGAAGCTAAAAGCACCAAAACCGAAAACGGCGAAGGCTGCAACATCGCCAAAAAGGAAGGCCGCTTCTCCCAAAAAGAAGGAATAAAAAAAAATTTAGACGTGTTGCAACGTCGTAGATTACGACTACGTCGGTTCGCGACGTTATATTTATGCGAGAGGATGCTATACGTCCCCGCTGAATTACACAAGTATCAAAGTTCTTGATAAAGAAAAACACCTTTCCAAACGTTTATTCCTGGAAATGTCCCACATTTTCATGAATAACAACTGTATCAACAAAAATACAGATATTAAACAACTGAGTGTCATTTACTCATATTTGCTAAACTGCGAAAAATTGGAGAACTTACATATCTCCCCAAATTTCGACTTTTCACAACCATAAATATAATCTGTATTTTGGCCGATTCCTCCAACAAATTTCATTTCACTCAAAATCTAATAATTCTCTTCTCACGATTCATTAATAATTGTTAATTTAAAATTCCCATTAATTAAAAAATTCTAGGTCTTTTAGCCATTTTATACTACAATGTGTATGTTGGCTCTTGTTGTGGACTTCGTGTGTCTTTTTTTCCTCTCCATCTTCGTTTCCTCAGGTTACACCCGTATCCGGATGTGTGGGCATGTGTATCTACTTTTGTGGTTGCATATGTGCATTCATTTCGGGCCTGATGAAGCCAACCCGCAGAAATACGTATCGCTCGGGTTACCTATCCTATTTTCTGCTTGAATCCACTTTTTGCGGATTTTGCCCATTATTTTCCTATTTTTGTTATATACCTTTCTCCGCATGATAATTTTCTATATATATATATACATCATTAAAAGTGTTGGGCGTACTGGGAAACTATAGCCCTCTAATTTCAATCTTTGATATATTTTAAATTGGGGATATTTTTACTAGGTATATTTATTTAACAAAACGTTAAATTAATTTCATTAATATGGAAAGAAAAAGAAAGTTGAACAAGTAAGGTACCAAAAATTTTACTATTAAAAATCAAAATTAAAGAAAAATAATTATTCTAAAGAAAAAACATAATTAATAACCAGTTCGGTGTCCTGTCGATCTTAGCAGTGCGTTAACACGCCTTGCATTCCTATTATTTGGTTAATGCTTTCTTGGGGTAAATTATTCCACTCTTCATTTACTGCTGCAGCCAGCTCATTTAGGGTTGTAGGTGGATCTATTCTGTTCCGTACGGCTCGAGCTATAGTGTCCCAAATGTTTTCAATGGGGTTCATGTCTGGGCTGTTCGCAGGCCACGGCAATCTCACTATTTGGCCCCTTTCTAGAACCCGCTGGACCCTTCTCGCTCTATGTGGCCTTGCATTATCATCCATAAAAATGAAGTTGTTACCGAATTCATTTCGCAAAGGTTGAATAATGGGTTGTATGACATTTTCTTCATAAATTTATGCAGTCATTGTCCCCTGGATCTGAATTAAAGGACTTGGGTGGTTAAACATTATGCCTCCCAAAACATTATTGATCCGCCCTGATATGGGACAACTTCTCGGGCCAAATTTAGTCGCTGTTGATGTCCTGGTTCTCTCCAAACTCTCATTCTACGGTCAAACATAACCTCATCTGTAAATACCACATTTCGCCACTGTGGTAAAAGCCACTCCTGATGTTCTCTAGCCCACTGGAGATGAGCAGCATTTTGTCTACGAGTAAGACGTGGAACCCTTAAAGGTCTTCTAGGGCGCAAATTTGCCATTCGCAATCTTCTTCTGATGGTAGAAGTGGAAATAACTCTTCGAAACGTATGCTGAATATGCGATCTGATAGCTGTACTTGTTGAAAATCTATTCCTATATTATATAATAGAGCAATGTAACGATTCCCCCTATCATCTGTTACTCGAGGACGCCCACTGCGTGGCCGATTTTCAACTGAGCCAGTTTCTTGGAATCTTTGAATTGTTCGAATAACCGAACTTCTTGGGATACCCAAATCCAGTGCTATTCGGTGATTTGAAAATCCAGCTTGGAAGAGGGCCACTATTCGTGTTCTATCAAAACCAGAAATTTCAGCTCGCGGCATTCTAAAAGTTACAGTATAAAATTTTATTTTAATACTTTTTGCTCAAACACTACCGTTAAGCTGACTTATTTCTATAAAAATCCAAACACATTTTAATCTCAACGGTTTTTTGCGTTTTTTGCTTGCTAAATATATAATATAATAAGTAATCTGATATGTGATGTATCTGATGCTTAACATCACCAAGTGAGCGCTAAGTGCTTTAAGAACATATTTTGCTTTTTTCATCCAACGCCACTGGTGAAGAAGTATTGTAATCGTGAAAAATTTCGAAGATGAGCCTTCTACATCATGAAAAACCATGTCACTCACTTTCGTCCGCCTGTCTCTAACATACACCTTAGCCCATCTATAACCTGGGAAGTACCATCGATTTTAGTGAGTTTTTCATTGTTACTATTTTGCCAATGACGAAAAAGATCTGCAGTTTTTGAAAAAAAAATAAAAATCGCTTCAATCGTTTTTTGACGCTTCAGGGGGTTCTGATCATTTTCAGAAACATCTTTGCATGCGAAAATGCGGCGGATAGCAGAGCAATCGCCTCGCAAAACCTAGCAACACGGATTTATGAATAAAGTTAACCATAAAGAATGAAGGTGTTTTTCTATGAGAGTAAAAGACCTCAAGAATTATAAATCTATCACATGGCGATCCTGCCAGGATGGTATAGTGCTTGTATCGAGCTACAGATTTAATATGAGCCAGTTGAATAAACTATATTTTAATTAATGGGGATTTTAAATTAACAATTATTAATGAATCGTGAGAAGAGAATTATTAGATTTTGAGTGGAATGAAATTTGTTGGTGGAATCGGCCAAAACACAGATTATATTTATGGTTGTGAAAAGTCGAAATTTGGGGAGATATGTAAGTTCTCCAATTTTTCGCAGTTTAGCAAATATGAGTAAATGACACTCAGTTGTTTAATATCTGTATTTTTGTTGATACAGTTGTTATTCATGAAAATGTGGGACATTTCCAGGAATAAACGTTTGGAAAGGTGTTTTTCTTTATCAAGAACTTTGATACTGGTGCGACCGAGAAGAAAGCTTCTCCAGCTAAGACAAAGAAAAGTGGGAAATCGGCGACGTCGGCTAAAGCTTCTTCTGCTGCACCTTCTGCAGCGCCTGCAAAAAAATCTCCTTCGAAGGCGAAGAAATCCAGCAAGGGAGCTCCGACCAAGAAGCTAAAAGCACCAAAACCGAAAACGGCGAAGGCTGCAACATCGCCAAAAAGGAAGGCCGCTTCTCCCAAAAAGAAGGAATAAAAAAAAATTTAGACGTGTTGCAACGTCGTAGATTACGACTACGTCGGTTCGCGACGTTATATTTATGCGAGAGGATGCTATACGTCCCCGCTGAATTACACAAGTATCAAAGTTCTTGATAAAGAAAAACACCTTTCCAAACGTTTATTCCTGGAAATGTCCCACATTTTCATGAATAACAACTGTATCAACAAAAATACAGATATTAAACAACTGAGTGTCATTTACTCATATTTGCTAAACTGCGAAAAATTGGAGAACTTACATATCTCCCCAAATTTCGACTTTTCACAACCATAAATATAATCTGTATTTTGGCCGATTCCTCCAACAAATTTCATTTCACTCAAAATCTAATAATTCTCTTCTCACGATTCATTAATAATTGTTAATTTAAAATTCCCATTAATTAAAAAATTCTAGGTCTTTTAGCCATTTTATACTACAATGTGTAGGTTGGCTCTTGTTGTGGACTTCGTGTGTCTTTTTTTCCTCTCCATCTTCGTTTCCTCAGGTTACACCCGTATCCGGATGTGTGGGCATGTGTATCTACTTTTGTGGTTGCATATGTGCATTCATTTCGGGCCTGATGAAGCCAACCCGCAGAAATACGTATCGCTCGGGTTACCTATCCTATTTTCTGCTTGAATCCACTTTTTGCGGATTTTGCCCATTATTTTCCTATTTTTGTTATATACCTTTCTCCGCATGATAATTTTCTATATATATATATATACATCATTAAAAGTGGTGGGCGTACTGGGAAACTATAGCCCTCTAATTTGAATCTTTGATATATTTTAAATTGGGGATATTTTTACTAGCTATATTTATTTAACAAAACGTTAAATTAATTTCATTAATATGAAAAAAAAAGAAAGTTGAACAAGTAAGGTACCAAAAATTTTACTATTAAAAATCAAAATTAAAGAAAAATAATTATTTTAAAGAAAAAACATAATTAATAACCAGTTCGGTGTCCTGTCGATCTTAGCAGTTGCGTTAACACGCCTTGCATTCCTATTATTCGGTTAATGCTTTCTTGGGGTAAATTATTCCACTCTTCATTTACTGCTGCAGCCAGCTCATTTAGGGTTGTAGGTGGATCTATTCTGTTCCGTACGGCTCGAGCTATAGTGTCCCAAATATTTTCAATGGGGTTCATGTCTGGGCTGTTCGCAGGCCACGGCAATCTCACTATTTGGCCCCTTTCTAGAGCCCGCTGGACCCTTCTCGCTCTATGTGGCCTTGCATTATCATCCATAAAAATGAAGTTGTTACCGAATTCATTTCATTTTCTTCATAAATTTATGCAGTCATTGTCCCCTGGATCTGAATTAAAGGACTTGGGTGGTTAAACATTATGCCTCCCCAAAACATTATTGATCCGCCCTGATATGGGACAACTTCTCGGGCCAAATTTAGTCGCTGTTGATGTCTTGGTTCTCTCCAAACTCTCATTCTACGGTCAAACATAACCTCATCTGTAAATACCACATTTCGCCACTGTGGTAAAAGCCACTCCTGATGTTCTCTAGCCTACTGGAGATGAGCAGCATTTTGACTACGAGTAAGACGTGGAACCCTTAAAGGTCTTCTAGGGCGCAAATTTGTCATTCGCAATCTTCTTCTGATGGTAGAAGTGGAAATAACTCTTCGAAACGTATGTTGAATATGCGATCTGATAGCTGTACTTGTTGAAAATCTATTCCTATATTATATAATAGAGCAATGTAACGATTCCCCCTATCATCTGTTACTCGAGGACGCCCACTGCGTGGCCCATTTTCAACTGAGCCAGTTTCTTGGAATCTTTGAATTGTTCGAATAACCGAACTTCTTGGGATACCCAAATCCAGTGCTATTCGGTGATTTGAAAATCCAGCTTGGAAGAGGGCTACTATTCGTGTTCTATCAAAACCAGAAATTTCAGCTCGTGGCATTCTAAAAGTTACAGTATAAAATTTTATTTTAATACTTTTTGCTCAAACACTACCGTTAAGCTGACTTATTTCTATAAAAATCCAAACACATTTTAATCTCAACGGTATTTTGCGTTTTTTGCTTGCTAAATATATAATGATTTTTTGTTCACTAACAGAATATAGATGACGTACCTCTAGACGGATTCATACCAACGCTTTTGATGATGTGGGTATATATAAATATCTATCCTTTAATTTCTTTTGGTAGAAGGCAAAGTATTGCAAAAGTACACTCTTAGAACTTAAACTCTCAAGCTTTCGAAGATCTATGTCTTTATCGTCTGGAGTAAGTCGGCGAGATTGTTGCTGAAATTGTTTTTAAAACAACAGGGAACACATAGTCGACGAATAAAAAACTGGGCTGATGAGGTTCGATTAGGACGGAACTATTTTATTATTAAATGGCAAATTATTTTGAAAGGTTTTTTCAAAAATAAGCGCTGATTGATTTTGGAAGAAATTTGGAGATTTTAAAACTATCAACTATTGAAAATTCCCCCTTCTACCCAAAGAAATTAAAGGATATCTTCTCGTAACAGTTAAGGCAGTTTACTATGAATACTATACTATATACGTACTATATATATATATATATATATATATACGTATATATATATTTGTGGATATACCTGATTTTATAATAATTATATAGATGTTGAAATGTGTCATCCATTTGTCGATCGATTCATCGAGCTGTCAAATCCGATAAATATGCTGCTTTTTGTGGAAATGGGGTATATTTTCCTTATCTAGGTTTCTAGCATAGGCCAAGATATCATATATTATAATAGTCCATATATCAGTGCATCACCCGAAATCGAACGCTTTATTTTTACAAGTACAATAATGCGCCTTTATTGTATCCATTACAATTACGTTCAACTGAAGGCTTGGTCGAAAAGAAAGCAGATTTTGTCATTACCACCGTCTCCAACTGGAGGTGCCCTGGTTGCAAGATTCACGAGACTCGACCACAATTTCTATCAGGAGCCTACGGACTCTTTCTGAGATTTAAGCAATCAAATATGCTTTTACCTCAAGCAAAGCTATGCCAAATGTGACTGATTTGGTACATACGAGGGGCAGACTGTATATTTTGAGATGCGCATTAACTATACTAGTTAAAACCGACAACGGTGCACTATTAGAAAGAGCAGTGAGGCGTCGCATTCAGTTCATTTGCAAGTGGCTTACAGTGCACGTGGTGTAAACAAATTTAAGGCGAAACATAGAGTTGTCTCGAGAGTTATCGCGCTATAATTTACCATGAGCTTAAAATCGGGTTAATTGAACATCAATGAATCGAACGGCATTTGGTAATGAAGATTCATCCTGGGCAACTGTGTTTCGCTGGTATGCCAGATTTAAAAGAGGGGTGTTTCATTGGCTGATGAAGAACCTAGTGGTAGGCCATATTCTAGTGTGACTACAGGAAACATTGCTAAAGTTCAGCGGCTTATTGAAGGAGATTCTCGCTGCTCATATGCGACTATAGAAGCAACTCTTGTGGTAGAATCCGCAACAGTGCACAGGATTTTGCATGATCATCCTCATTCAAAAAAAATGTTGCAGAGGTACAATCCTGCATCTCGACAATGCCTCTAGCCACACTTCACAACTAACTGTAGACTTTTTACGCCAGTGCCATATCAAAATGCTAGAACATCCTCCAGATTTGGCAATGTGTGACTTCTGGCTCTTCCAGAATTTGAAAAAAAATCTGCGTGGTCGAACATTTTCGTCCGAAGTGGAAATCGATCAAGCAATTAATAGGTTTGTTGAAGGCATTCCAAAAACTGACTGGTTTATTTGTGGAAGGTCAGGTTACAGAAGTGCATTGATGCTGGAGGAGAATACTTTAAACATAAATGAACTATTTTTCGAAAAACCGTTTTTAGTTTCCGTGTATCTCAAAATATATAGCGTGGCCCTCGTATAAGCCCACATATTCAAAATTGTTGAAGGTGAGAAGAAGAATTTTTAAAAGTCTGGGTAAAGGTCTTTGATATACTTATTTTAGTTCAATATGGTGGATGCTACAAAATAGCGATTCATTATTAATTTCCATAGTAGCCCCCTATGAGAGAATGAACAAAATGACGTCATCCTTAATCGAATATAATAATAATAATAATTAACGTCTTTTATTTGTAATATTCTTACAGGAGGCGAGATTTCGATAATATATCTATTCTACTATCTAACCCCCTTAACAATACGAGATGTAAAAAAACAGAATTTGTTGAAAATTAATACCTGTATACAATAACGACCGAATAAAGTATAATCCAAGTAAGGGCATAAGGAAAATATGAGGCCGCTTATGGGTTACAACAGATTTCGCTGCTGATCAAGTAAAACTTTCTTCACTTATTTCTTGAATTTGGGTAGTGGATTGGTTTCTTTTAAACTGCGGTCTAAAGAATTATATGATTTGATCGCGTTGTAAATATTATTCTGAAATAAAGATGTGCTGTGGCGTGGAATTGTAAAAGTCTCTCTATATCTAATATTAATGTTATGCACATTCCCTCTACGTATGAATTTGTTTATTAAAAAATGTTTTTGAATAAAGAACTATATGAGACAGATTTAGGATCTGGTACCTATACATTTTATCAATTTTCATCAATTTGAGTTCATTAATGGCATTCGATATACAGGGTTATCCAAATTAAGTGTCCACCATTGGTAACTTGTTATTAGTAAAAATACAAAGTTGTTTAAATTAGCAAACTAGTAGCATTTTTAACGCTGGTAAAAATGAGAAATAAAAAAAAAAAATTGAGAGTCGTTATTTTGATTTTTTTCAGTAAAATAACATTTTTTTAATTGGAAACCCCTGTATATTATATTTTTTTCTGTTAAAGCATCACATTTTAAAAACAAAAAGTTCATAATGACTTTTCCGCTAAAGTCAAAAAAGTCAAAATAACGATAATATTTTTAATTATTTGCAGTATTTAGATATAAGACGGCTATGAAAACAACATGGCGTTCGCGATTGACAGCATTAAGATAAGCGACAAATTGTTAAACTGGACATACTCGCAACTAGAAGGCTTTGGAAAACAATGATAAAATCAAATAATGTCAACATTAGTGTAAATACTTGTTTATAAGCTTTATTGTGTCATTAATTTAAAGAAAAATGTTCTCCCATGAAGAAAAGTGTGATATGTTAGAATGCTATTTAGTGTGCAGAAAATCCTCCTTGAGAGCAAGAGAATACTACAGTGAATTATATCCCGCTCGCATTCAACCGTATGAACGATATTTTCTGAGACTTTATCGAAAATTTAGGGGCAACGAAAATGTTTTTGCTAAAACAAGGGCAAAAAAAGAATTCGTAATAAGCGAGGCCACGGAAATTGCAGTTATTGGATATTTTGAAGCTTATCGTGAGAATTCAATAGCAGATATTCTCAAGGACTCTAATTTCAGTTATGGTACTGTTCAAAGGATTTTAAAAAAATACAAATTTATTCCGTATAAGTACCGACCAGTTCAAACGCTTTTGGCAGGGGATCCAGAGAGAAGACTTGTTTTTTGCCATTGGTATCTTAGCTTCTGTCGCCAAAATGTAAATAACTTTCGTTACCTTTTATGGACAGATGAATCAAATTTTTCAAATTCTGGAATGTTTAATAGAAAAAAACGATCATTATTGGTCAAGAGAAAATCTTTTGTTAGTACATCCAAGAGGCCCACAAGTCCGTTTCAGTTACAACGTTTGGTGCGGTATAATTGGTTCAAAAATTGTTGGCCCGTTCTTTTATGAGGGAACCCTAACTGGTGAAAGATATGTGGAATTTATGTCAGAAATTCTGACTAATTTCTTAGACGAATTGGATCTTATAAGTAGACATCATCTGCATTTTCAGCAAGATGGCGCACCTGCCCACAACTCCAGAGGTACTTATCATTTTCTAAGTACTACTTTTAATGATCAGTGGATAGGAACAAATGGCCCAATACAGTGGCCTCCCAGATCACCAGATCTAAACCCACTTGATTACTTCTTGTGGGGTTACTTAAAGAACCAAATTTACAAGCGAAGGTACGATAACCTTGACGCGTTAAAGACTGCAGTTAGGGAAAAGATAACCCAGATAGATGGTAGGACCATACTTAAGACAGTTCGAGCAGTTGAAAAACGTGCCCAAAAATGTATTGAAGAACAAGGTGGTGTTTTCGAGCATCTTCTTTAAAAAAAATTGTTATTGTATTTTGTAAGATTATAAGTTGATGTTGAAAATAAAGTTTGTCGATACAATTTAATTGTTTCAGATTGGAGGCCATAACTTCAACAATTTGTAACCTAGGAGAAAAGTTATTGTAAGCTTTTTTGTTTAAAATTTGATGCTTTAACAGAAAAAAATATAATATACAGGGGTTTCCATTTAAAAAAATGTTATTTTACTGAAAAAAATCAAAATAACGACTCTCAATTGTTTTTTTTTATTTCTCATTTTTACCAGCGTTAAAAATGCTACTAGTTTGCTAATTCAAACAACTTTGTATTTTCACTAATAACAAAGTTACTAATGGTGGACACTTAATTTGGATAACCCTGTATATGATCATACTTTCTGAGACCATTTACAGGTCTGCAACATGTATTCATAATACTTTGAATACGATTTCTTGTTATAATATCTAAATAGGGATAGTAAATCACTAAGCAATACGATATCTTTGAATACAAGAAAGATTCACACAATTTCTTTCTCGCAGATTTATGTAATATAGTCTTATTTGCAAATAAAACTCTGAGAATAGCGTAGCACAGAGAAATTAGATAGTTTACGTGTACAACAAATTTTAAGTCATCATCCATTACTTTACCTAGGTTCTTCGAATGATCCACAGGAACTAATTTATTACCTTTTAAATGTACCTATGTCTATGTCCTTTTTTAGAGTATTCTTTTTGTTCTATTTGCGTATACCAACATAT